TTTTGTCCAGGCAAAAGTTGACCTTTCTGTCCTAATTACATGAAAAAACTCAATGAATGATGCAAAACTTTATTTTGGTATCTAGAGGGCTTTGCCTTTTCTTATAAGCCATTTCTGATTCCAACTGATTAACTACAGGTCAAGTGTTATGTGCCGTAAGTTGCCCCTTGAAACTGCTCGCTCCACCGCTCGTGCCGGTGTAGGCTCGCCGGACGAGAACGTGCGTCCTAATACTCAGTCTCCGCTGGGTTTAACTCGATCCCCTGAGAGGGAGAACATTGGATTTGACGTGAGTCGCCATATTGGACTCGTGCCCATATTTAGAGAAAATGAAGTGGATGCATATTTCCCTATCTTTGAGCGCATCGCGACCACCTTGAATTGCCCAGGCACCTTTGGTCGCTCCTGCTACAGTGTAAACTCGTGGGGAAAGCTCAGGAGGTATGTTCGGCTCTTGGATTAGAACAGAGTCTAGATTATGATGTTGTGAAGGCTACTGTTTTGAGGGCTTATGAGTTAGTGCCCAAAGCTTACCGGCAGAACTTCCGGAAACTTTGTAAATCCGCCCAGCAAACTCACGTGGAATTCGCTCGGGAGAAGTCACTCCTCTTCGATAAATGGTGTACCGCTAGTGGTGTGACTAACTTTGACCAGCTAAAGGAACTGCTTTTGTTGGAAGAATTTAAGAACTGTGTACCTGATCGTGTGGTTATTTACTTGAATGAACAAAAGGTGACGTCTCTTGCGGAAGCCGCCACCCTAGCTGATGAATTCGTACTGACCCATCGAACCGTGTTTGTTCCTACCCCTATGCCTCGTAAACTCCACCCTAGATCGGTGCCGACCCCTGAGACGGCTGTTTCTACCTCACGCGTAGAAACCAGGGAATGTTTCTATTGTCATGAAGTTGGTCATCTCATTTCTGTTTGCCCTCCGCTTCGGCGCAAGAATACTCGTTTGGCTGCTGTAAGGAAAGTTAATGTTGCTGCCTGCCCCGACAACTCTTCGCCCTCGTCCTCCGCTGTTGACGCTGTTTTTGTACCTTTTATGTTTGCTGGTTCTGTTTCGCTTAGTGAGACTGACACCCGGCACCCTGTTACTATCCTGCGGGATACAGGGGCCGCTCAGTCGTTCCTGGTGGAAGGCATCGCACCACTCGCGGATACTTCCTACTGTGGTACGGATGTGTTGGTGCAAGGCATCGATCTACGTGTGACCGCTGTTCCCCTACACACCGTATACTTAAGGACCCCTGACTTTTCTGGCTACTGTACGTGCGTGTTGCGGTGCAGAAAGAGTTTCCTGTCCCTGGCATCACGTTTGTTCTGGGGAATGACATTGCGGGGGAAAGAGTTGTTCCTCTGCCTGGAGTCCTTCCCGAACCACTGTTTAGTACAGATCTTGCGGTGGAACTCCCAACTGTGCTTCCTGCATGTGTGCTCCGCGCCCAGCGGCGCCGGCTCGTGGATATTGTCCTGGCTGATACCCTTATGTCTGACTCCCCTCTAGCAACTTCTTCATTGTGCGATTTTGACACCCCTGTTGCTCGCCATGTCCTTGATCCCCCTGAAGTTCCCTCCACGAGGGAAGCCCTAGTTATGGCTCAGGGAGCAAATCTCTCCCTGGTGTCCTGTCCTGCCTCCGCTGTCGAGAAGACAGACTTAAAGAACCACCCCACTGCGTGCGTTTTTTACGACCGCGATCAAGTGCGGAAAGTGTCCCCTCCAGACCTTGACATCTCGTTACCCTCGGTTGTTCGCAGGTGGTTTCTATTTCTCCTGATTCTCAGTTCTTTTGTTTTTGGGTGCTTTGATTGTTCAAATCTCGATTGTGATTGCGAACTCCTGTCGGGTTCGCTCTTGTGTGGGGGGGTGTTACGTGCCGTAAGTTCCAGGGTGAGCCCTGCAGAATCTCCGGACCTCCCTCCTTCGTCGTCATTCGCCGGCTGCATCTTGGCTCCGCCTTGCTGACCAGACCCCGCCCACGGCTACTCCAATGCGTCGCCCGTCACTTCCTGGTTCCCGGAGTGAAAAGCCGGACAGAAAGAACCCTCGAGAGCTCTGCTCATATTTTGGATTGTTTTTGGTTTGCTTATTGATTGGATTATTGTGTATGACGGTTTTGGTTTCTCG